CTGGAACCAACTTCCAAGGGAAGTGGTGCTGGCTCCTACCCTGGGGGTCTTTAAGAGGAGGCTTGATGCCTACCTAGCTGGGATCATTTGAGCCCAGTTTTTTCTCCTGCCATGGCAGGGGGTCGGACTTGAAGATCTACAAGGTCCCTTCCCACCCTACTTCTACGATTCTGATTCTATGATCCTTTCCAAATGCAGAATAGAAAGATTTAAGAAAAAAATCTGCCTTTAAGTCTATCATTATTAACAATTTTTCTGTCTCTGTTAGTAGTGATCCCATACCATTATGAGGATTCTTTTTGTTCCTGATGAAAAAAAACTCTATATTTTATCCTGCTGGCCATGGATTCTGCCCTGATGCCTCTAGTCTTTATCTTCAAGATTGTTAATTTCCACTCTCCCCCCATGAAGTTGGCCATGTATTTGGCACTGGAGAAGTCATAAAGGCCAGACATAGAGTTCTCTCCGGTAATCTATATTTAGTTTCAGGAACCTCTCTACTAAAATTCCCAACATCATTGGCACCAATATGTAAAAAGACTTTCCCACCTCAACCTTGTGAGAGCTGACACAATTGCACCTGCCAAGCAAATTTACGTTATTCTTTCTTTTATCACATACTCTGTTTTATCTGTTTCTGATGACAGAACAAGTAAATTTTTAAACTCAATAGAAATGGTTGGATCTATGAGATGGGATCCTCTCCTTTTTGCAACTATGGAAGGACTGATTCTTTGTGAAGAAACCAGACCCTCCCAGCTCCTCTGTGGCCCGTCAGGACATTGGCTTGCTGTCAAGAATGGAGGCAAGTGAGTGGTTTGGACAGAGACTTCCTGCACATCCCTCAAAGTGACATCACTCATTGCATTCCTTTCATTTGCTCAGGTATCAGCTTGGTGCACAGAGCTTTCATAAAGCTGCCCACAGCGGGTGCCTTTGGCATTTGGCACTGAACAAAGGTGGAGGTGAAGCCTGGAGGGCTGCCGGTCCTCTCAGCCTGTGCAGGTTTGTGGACTGCCAGCGGCTGGCTTTTTCCCCTACACTTTACTTGAGAGTTAAGGGAAGGAAGGAAGGACTTTCGACTTTTTAACTACTTTATTCAGGGGTTTGGGGTACAAAAAGTTGCCCCCTCTGGGGTCCAGGTCCAATATACAAAGCAAAGACAAATTACCATCAAACCAAGAGCACCATGTTGTTACATTCATAACATCACACCATGGCAGACACCTTCGCAGTATTATGTGTCGTGCCTAACATGCCGTCATGCGGTTGGGACATTGGCTACACGGTCGTTCAGACCAAAGCCCTCTATAAACAATTCCTACCCTGCTCTATCCAACCATACGTGACAAAACCTTCAACTTCCCACACAAAGAAAAAAAGCAAAAAAGCAGCCTGGTGAGGGCCTAGGGTGCGACGTGAGCTTGGAGTTGCAATTTGCCACCAAGCCTGCCCGGTTGCCCAGAACAGGAAGGAACGAAGGAAGGAAAGGCCTTCTTTATGTGTTTATTTGCAATTCCCACTTGCATTACCCACTCTGCCCCACTCTGGGCTGGGCTCTGGTGCGGATGCCTAATTCAATCAGTGCCCAGAGTCATTATTTCACAGCCTTGCACTTCTGAGAAATGTTCTTCTGGTTCCAGGCAGGGCAGGACGGCCGTTTTGACAGGGAGATCCCCTGATCATTGGGGAGGCTTGCATATCCTTGCACCAGCGAGAGAGCCCGTGCTCGCCCGGGGTCCACACGGTGGAAACTCCCGAGGTTTCTGCGCAGCTCTGCCTTACTCGGGCAGGAATGAGCAGTCCGCGGGCGCCCAGCGCAGGGGGCAGGGAGCGCGACCCCTCCCCCCAGCCGAACGCGGCTGTTAAAGCCGTTAGGGCCTTTGAGGGCCCCCCCCCCCCACAACGGACCGCGGGGCAGTCACAATACCCGCTGTACGTCCCGGACCCGATGAAGCTACCCCTGCTTTGCGAGGCGGCGGGAAGCGCAGAGTTCCCCTCCCCCGCTCAGCGCCCGGGCTGGGGAGCCACCGTACCTCACCCCGCGTCCTAAGCTCCCGGGAGGGGGAGGGGCTGAGGACGAGGCACG